TGCAGTCCTTTGAGAAGAATTGCTCTATATGAATGCAACTGTTAATTAAATAGAAATAAAAACTGAACTATGTTTCCCACTTATTGCTGAGCACTATTGACTCTGCAATAGAGAAAAGCAGAAATATATGTATATACAGAATCTGTATATAATACAGAAATATATGTATATACAGATATGATGACCCTCTCTGTCATAGAAATATAAGGGGTGATGATTGTTACTAGAATTGGACTGTCATTTATTTCTTCATGCGAGTTAAACTGTGGAAGATTTTGAAGTGAGGATATAAAGAAATCCAGTACAATTATTTCCTTTATACTATAGGTAGATATGAATATGTATCTGTCTGTGATTTCTTTTGTGGAAAGTAATAGATACTCAATTGCTTTTAAATGTCTGAAATCTGTAGGGCTAGGAGAGCGAGCCAAAAGTCTATCACACAATCTGCTGTGAACTTCTGTAATTGCAAATAGTGCTAATCAAAAAAGAGGTGGGAAGGAAAAGGTGATAGGATTTGACACCCTTTTATTGACTGAAATAAGTATGTGAGGCATTACATGGCAGTTGGCTTGTGTGTGGACATGACATACAAAGTCCCTTGGTTTCCAGGAGCAGTCAGACAGAACTGGCTTTGGAAAGGAAGTATTTCTGGCTCTTGCACTATGCACCTTGCCCAGAAATGCTCTGACAACTTCATCCACCAGCTACATATACAACTGCTCTAGTTTTTCACAGTAAGTGCTACAAATCTTTGAGCAATTTTGGGTTTCCTAGACATGACAATAAGCCATTTCCATCCCAAAGGAATAAAGCATCTCCCAGGAGAACACAAACTGAGCGTGCTGAGAAGAGGGCCTTGGTTGTTTCCTATTTGTAGCTCCTTTGCAGACCACCAGTTTAGTAACCGCAGTGGAGGCAGGTGAATGGGAGCAACCCCCAGCCTGGGGGGTGTCTCTGAGGCTGGCCTCATCAGCGTGCCAGAAGGTTGTCACAAAGTGCAACCAGGCACAGCAGGCATGCCAAAGACAGGTAGTCTTTGAATATTTGTTGATGGGGCCAGTGAAGCCTTCTGTAGCGAAAAATGTGCTTCTGGGCAAACTCCAGTGATTTTTGCATTTAAAGTTTATCAAAACAGGCTATGAATATGCATATCAGGACATTGCCCATCATTGGAGAAAAATTGTCATGACTCTCATAGAACTAGGTTGGGTGTTTTTTCGTCCTTGGGTATCATGAACTTGTACTCTGCCAGAAATTGCTTAGTTTGTTTGCTTAACATGGAAATTCAATATCAGTAGAAACCCTTAGTGCAGAAAAGAGTAATCTTGTGAGAATCTAAGTAACAGGAAATGAATGTGTTGATGGAACCCATGTTTGTGTTGGCAGGTCATCTGGCATCCGTCCTGTCAATAGCACTCTGGCATCTCACATGAACAAACACTGACTAGAGAGAGTTGTGCAGCCACGCCAAAGAGCCATGTGGGAAAAGGAAAGATCTGATAATACTATTTCTAATATAGGAAAGAATTGAACCGCATATCAAAGTCAAAAAATGTTATGAAAGATGGAATTCAGTTGACCTAGCTTTGCAATTTTATTTAGCAGTTAAGAGGAGGATATTTTAATAACAATGCACGCTTTGAGAAGAAAAATCTGTGTGATCTTAGAAATTAAAAATATATAAAGCATAACTGAAGGAAATTTCAAAGGCATGAAGCAGAATTGGGATCTTGTCATTTATTCCAGTGCAGACTTTGGAAAAGAACTCAAAGAAATAATGAGTTTGGCTTGCTTCTCTGTCATAAGTAATCTGGAAGTTTTGCTGCAAGCAAAGTGCACACCAGCGGAGTCTAGTTTCATCTGCAAGAATATACATGAAATGCATTGTAAACAATTTTGCTTATTTCAGGTATCTGAAATGTAAAGCTTGGTTTTTAGTGAAGCTTGTAAGGTTTCACCAGGAGGATGCTGTAATTTCTAAATTATTTCAAAGAAAAGATAAAAGGATTGATGATCCTTGAAAAAAATGTTTGCATGTGAAATCCTGTATTGAAAAGCTTTGAGGAAGGTTCAGAAGGCTTTAAGCAAATTGGAAAGGAGCTCAGAAACTGTTTCCAAACCATTTCACTCTGGAATACTTGATGGCATTTTTATTAGGTAAGCTGTCAGTCTGGTAAATAGGCTTCATTCAGACAAATAATGGCATATTCATTTTTTATTAGGAGAGATTATTTTTAATAACAAAGGATCTTGTTGTAAAGTCGAGCTCAAAGACACCCACATCATCAGCAAATGGATAAGCCTTCGAAAATATTTCTTTTTATTGTAGTCTGAAAATGTTATAGATTAAAAGTACCTACATAAGATGCAAGAAAGCTCTGTGGCATTCTGGCCAGAAGGACATAACTCGAATCTACAGGACCCAGCCACAGCCTGGCAAGAGACCTTCTTGCCCTCTGTTCTGCCATCCTCCTTGGGCCGCTGTGAGAATTGTGGTGGGGTTTTAAACTAGAACTCAAGACGTACAGATCCGTGTGAGCTTAGGGTAACAATATGAACAATAATTGGAGATGATGGTTGTGCAATAGCTGATGCAATGTTTATCAATTAGAAACGAGACAGGGAATGAAGCAGACCTCCCACTGCTCCCTTGGCTGGACTCTGAGCACTGCAGCTGTGGCAAGTTGGTGTTTAAAGACTGTAACAGAATCTGGTCCTACTGGTTAAGACAATCATATGAAAACTGAAATACCTGGAAGAATATTATGTTTTGCTTTGAGAGAGAAAAAAAGAGGAAGACTTCTAGGATATAATATTGCACTTGAATATTTTGAAGGATGAGAATTGGAAATTTTCCTGCTTTCCATTTTCCTAGAGGTAGGAAATGCTATAAGGATTTGACAACATGACACTGGGAAAGTGTTTTCTTGATAACAGCCTCACCTAAATATCCCAAACTTCCCCCTTTTCTGTAGAAATGAGTACACCATGCTGAGAAATTGCGTATATATGCTGTGTGTATAATTTGCTAAGGTACAATCTTGAGAAGGAATCAAATTCTGAAACGAGAGGCACTATGCACGGGCATTTATTCTCCTGAGTTAATAAGGCTTCAAGCTGGCCAGTTTTCCTGGCATCCCGCGTGGATTTACTGGTTCAGGTAGTCAAGAAATCAGGTGAATGTGTGTGTTATCATTCACTGTACATAATGTGTCTCATACTGGAAAGAAATTTAAGTCTGCAGAACTGTAATAATTCTTTCAGTCCAAACAGGCGAATCACTCAATACAGAAATGAAATTACATTCATTATTTAACAAAACAATTATTTATATTGTTTTTTTTAATCTGTTCACTTTCTCATCACTTTTTCTAGTAGTCAGTTTCTCTATAAAACTGACAACTCCTCACTGAAGAACTGTTAAACAGAGACTATATTACAAATAGAAATCAGCCAGGTTTGTTTTCCTCTGTTCTCCATCATTTTTGAAAACTTTGTATTTATTAGTAATTCAATGCAGTATAAGTGACATGAGGAAAGGATGGTTCTGAAGTTCTAACTTTTCTTTACAGAGAAATTAGTTTGATTTGTTCCCTGTCCCATTCCTCTTAACGCTTTCAAGATGTCTTGCAGACAATCTGATGGAAGCCAAATCCTTAAGGGTAGTTTCTAACTCTTCTTTATCTGAAACTTATAACAAAAAGTGGGGCTTATCGATGCTATTTTTTCAATTTGATTATTTTCTGGGAATATATTGTATCAGAGTAAGAATAAGTCAGTAAGTTTTGATTTGGGTTTTAGAGGAGTTTTTTGTTGTTTGGTTTTTTTGGTTTGGTTTGGTTTTTTAGCAAAGGTATATTTTGGAAACACTGACAAATGTTACATTCCTTCCATGAATTTTAGTGAACTTTGAATTAGACACTGGAAGATGAATGCTTTATAAAACAAATAATTCTGCAGAACTAAATATAACAAGGTGGTCATAACAATTATTTCATGACTACCAGCAATTATGGTACGTGCAGTCCTTCTAGTTGCTTTATGTCTCATTGTGGTGTACAGGCAATGATACACATATCAGGACATCCAGTTAATTTAGTAATATGTTTTCCAGATTTTATGGTTTTTTTCTTTTTGAAATAATTCCTTGTCATGGTCTAGTATTTAAGGGTGTAAAATGGTGAAGTTATTAAGCTAAATTAAACTACACTGAAGTATAACTACAGTGCAAGCTCTCTGTAAAAAAAGCAGTGCATATTTGTCCTGTTCACATCCCTTTTGAATCTTAAAAGTTGCAGGACATGAAAAAACATGCATAAACTGGCCAATATTTCAGTGGAAGGAAATTCACTGCTTATATAAAGTGATAGACTGGATTGTTGAGTAGCTGCCCACACAGCAGTCCATATGGAGGGTAAGGAGGTAAGTGAAAGGCATGAGATGGAACACGTTTTGCCAGCTCGCAATGACGTGAGGTCCCAGAAGGCAGAGGCTGCAGACAGTTGCAGTAAGCTAAAGCACTCCATAAACAGCTTGAACTCAGGATCTAAATCTTTCCCAGAATCTGGAAGAGCCAGAGAAATATGAGTTCTGAAAATGTTCTTTTTTTTTTTTTTTTTTTCCCCTCCTTTAAAACCCCCATCCAAACGTTTGCAAAAAAAAAAAAGTAATTTAACTTGTACTTCATTATGATCTTACTTAGTAACATACAAAACAATATACCACCCAGTCACTTTTGCATGTTCAGTTTTCAAGTAGAAAGTCCTGATTACTTATATGGCAGTAGTCCTTTATGAGGGAATGCTTTAAGGAGAATGATTAGAACATTCCCTTTGGAAAATTTGCTGAAAATGTTGTGTCTAAAGTAGTTCACAGTTTGCAGTGTCTGACCTCTTGTTTTCTTGTTGTTATCCTGATTTTTCAAATGTGACTTTTCTTAGAATTTGTCTATGTTAACTGTTTATTTTATTTTTTTTATTATTATTTCCCATGTCCAGCAAAATGCCTCAGCAGAGAAAGAGAATTTTCACGTGGCCTCGAGAAAGGAAGAAAACCAGAGCATCCAGGAGTGCGATTCTCAAGATGTAAGCATAGCTCGCCTATAAATCAGGTTCTACTCTAGATTGTATGAAAACATTACTGCCTTGGGCAATTATCCTCATGACTTACCTTTCCTGGTCAAGCTAGTACTTATATTTTATAAACCAGCTCTGTAGAGCTTTTGTGGGAAGAAGTGCAGTGAAATAGATATGATTTGATGTTTAACTTGGTAAAGAATTGGCTTGTTCCTGGCTAAAGAACTGCTGCATTACAGCGAGATGAAAAACCTTGTTTACATATTGTTTTCACTAATCAGCAGGAACAGCTGTCACAGTTGCTTCATTTGCTAAAACAAAACCTTCAGGGAGATGTAAGAGGTGACAGCGTAACTGTTGAAAATATGTAATCTTGTCCACTGCCAGTCTAGGAAAGCCACAAGCTGTGTTTTTCTTATGACACATCTGACAGAAAGCTAAATCTGCTGCTTTTACTGAGGCAAAAGCATGGTGGGAGCTGTTAACAGAAATCCCAAATGCATGTATTATGGCTGCAATTATACTGATGCAAGTAAAACAGGGAAGATGGAAAGGATGAGGGACAAAAGTTGTTGAGTGAGTGTGTATTGTCTACTCAATAGCCCAAAAAGGATAGTGCCACCATGACTAATTCACAGAATAAATGTAGAAGACAGCAGGAAAAAGACTGTCACAACAGCTCTTGAATGAACAAGGGAACACATTACCTACCTCCAAGTATAACAAACTCCTCTGGAGGTAACTGGGTAGCTTCCTGGTAGCGCTCATAGCAACATGTAGCAATGTGTAGAAAAATTTGGAAAAAAAGATCTTAATTCAGTATGCAACAAATTGTAAGAAGTTGTGTATATTATCCATTTATTACAGATACGTTACTAGTTTTATTAATTACCAACTGTGACTTCCCCTCTGCTGCGTAGAAAAATTTGGAAAAAAAAATCTTAATTCAGTATACAACAAATTGTAAGAAGTTGTGTATATTATCCATTTATTACAGATACGTTACTAGTTTTATTAATTACCAACGATAAGTGACTTCCCCTCTGCTGCATCCTCTAGAGGGGGACAGAGACAAGGAGAAATTGTGTATCCAGGTGAAGAGTGCACAATTTGCTGTTGCACCTTTGTTAATGTCTAAAGATGAAAGGAACTTCATTTCTTATTAATAAAATTTGAAGGAGAAGAATGAATAAGATGTAAACTTGTGAAGTCAGAGTGAACTCCATTTAGACTATGAGTAGAGATTGGTTATCACCTGGGAAAGTTACGGAAAGTTTGATGGAATATAGGTTACTTTAGGTGAAGGCTGAATTTATTTTGGCTGAATATTTGTGGAAAGAGGTTCAAGAAAGTTTCTCTTTTTTTACAGAAGTGGATATATTAAAGCAGAGAGCAAAAAAGAAAAGTTGTTAATGCATTTCACAAATCAAGAGAGTATTTAATTTCTGTTCATTTCAAGACACCTAAAAGGTGCACTTTGCCATAAAATCAAGGATTTGGTTATTTTGTGCTTCTAGCAACTACTATTTTTAGTCGTTTAGTCAGCATTGTATGCTGCTTGGTAGGAAAAATTTGTCTGAGAGAGCAGAAGACGACTCTTAACTGATGTTAGAAGTCTTGAGGAGTTGAACTATTTTTTATTATTCCAGTTAAATTAAAATCTAACTCTGTTCCCTCCTTAGTAGAATTATAATTCAAAGAAAAAGGAATTAGGCTATATATCTAAATTTGAGTAATAGGATTAAGTTTTATATCATTTACTCTCTCAATTATCATATTTTAAGATCAATTCTATATCCTATGGGACTCACATTTCCTTTAAATTTTAAATCTTTAAGGTTTGTTAAATCTGCATTTGACAAAACCTTCTGTATGGAGAAAAAGAATTAAAATTAGAGAAAGCATACCATAGGGATATTCAAATTCACTGTACTTTGCTAGGGAATATTTTTTATTGGAAAATTAAACAGGCATTAGTTTTATCAGTCTTATCATGCCTTTAAACATGTTGCTATAAATTTATTTTCAGCTTAGAAATGTATGTTATGTAATATATACATAGTTACATTTGCTTCACATTTTAAAAAATAGATCAAGGATTCACACTAGTATGGAAAGGTTTCACTGCTCTGTGCTCGCAGAGCCTGTCGAGGGAAATGGCTTTGAGAGCTGAGTTACAAAACAGGTTTTAGGACAGCTTTGTCTACAAACAAGGAAACCATAAACAGTGTGGTATTTATCCCAATTCGAAACAGAATTTCCGTCGTAATTAAAAACATTACAGACACAGGGAAATATGTTTTCTTTATGTTAAGTGGGACTTTTAAGGTATATGTGTTTTTATTTATTTCCATAGTAATTGGAGACAAAAATGGTTTGGTTAGCTTTTTTTTTTTTCAATTAAAATAAATAAAACCCATTGATTGGTATGATTCAAAGAGAATTCCAGGAGTTGGATCTTTGTGCAGGTAGCAGCAAAGCGATACAGAGACAGGAGCTATTCTGAAGTGCAACGACCTGCACAGTGAAGCAGGACAAACTGCAACAACCCTGTCCTAAAAGCGAGAGTAAATCTATGAATATAGCTCAAGTAATAGACAATATACATAGTATTTTAGAGACGTACTTAGCTTCGAATTGTGGCTGCATTCAAAGTACTGGATTTTCTCGAGTAAATCTATGAATATAGCTCAAGTAATAGACAATATACATAGTATTTGAGAGACTTACTTAGTTTCATAATAGACAATATACATAGTATTTTAGAGACTTACTTAGTTTCAAATTTCGGCTGCATTCAGAGTACTGGATTTTCTTGCCAGAGGGACATTAAATTCTTTTTTCAAAGAATTTTCTCCATTTCTATGCTACCCTCCCCAAACTGACCCATGAAGTTTTATGAGAAATCTGTCTGCACTCACAGGATTCCACACATGAATTTTCAAAAACTGCTCATTTGGAGCCCGTCATGGGAGAATAAAACATCTGAGTTTGTCAGAATCCCCTGATTTCACTTTAACTACCACACAAACTTCAATTATGAAAATGGGAAAGTTTTCTTGTAAACCTAAGGATAGATTAAAGAAAGGCAGTAAAATTTTCAAAGAGAACTAAAGCATTAAAATATATTTTTTCACAACTGTTCCAACCATTTTACAAGTTTAAGGACTTACCTTGACCACTTTTTGTCCTGTGGGTTGCTCACAGTGGTGAGTAATTTCCCTGGTTGATTAAGTTGAAATTTTTTTCTTTCTCTTACACATAATTGTCTGTTTGAACATGGACTGCATGGGACATAATAGTGCAGATGACAACATCAGGCTAGCAACCTCTTCCCACCTTTTATTATTATTTTTTATGTCTTATAGTAACATCTAACATAAGATATTTCTTTTCCTAAAGGTTCATATTACTTCAGTAGTACAAACCTGTCATTTGTACCTGTGAACTGTGAATGTATTCCACAGACTTGGGAGTACATTAGAGTTTTTCCTCATAATTTTAATCTTTATTTGGTTGTATGTGTTTATGTGTGTTTTTGTCAGAAGCTTTCAGTGTTGCTAAACTCCCAATGACGGGATTAAAGGCTGGATGGTTGAGAATGTATGACAAGATCTCATGTGCCATTTTTAAAAGGAAAATAAATGAAGGTTGAGGCCAAGATAAAAGGCTAGGACCTTAATGAATATGCTTAAAACTCTGTTGCTTAGAAACCTGATATTTCAGCAACACTTTTTCAGAACTTTGCAAAGATCCTCTGGTGATGTCTCTGATAAAGAAAATGTGATTTATATTTTGGAAAAATTACTGAGTAAAGACTGATTAGAGAAGAATGTGCAATATTTCAGTTAAGGAAAAAAATTAAGGGAAATAGCTAGTTGCTGGTCTCAACTGATATTCTTTAGTCTGTATAGCTAAACATCCCTCTCTCTCTCCCAGATTTGTAATCCTACTGCAATTTCTTCTAATGGTTTTATGCATGTTCAGAATAATTAATGTAGTTTACAGTGGAATGAATGCAAATAAAGATTTTTTTTACAAATGATATAGAGGCAGGCCAAATTCTATTAGCAAATTTTGAAACTAAATACTGCTGATACCTTAGCTGTCATGAAATTTGACATGGGACCTGTAGTAGCCAGAAGTAGGTAGGATATCCTGTAATATAACATCTTCATTATCTCAGATCATGTGAAATTTATCAAAGACCTCCTTGTTAGAGGAATCTTGTGAAAATTACTTTTTCTTAGTCTTGTCCAGAGATATTTCCCTATGACTGGCTCATGAGAGTCTCTGTGCAGAGCTAGAGTTCTACAGAGCTCTTTTCACTGTATCATTTCCCTTTTCCCTCTTCCCAAAACCCTTTGTGAGCTTTTTTTTGCTTTTATACCAGTATGTACTTTGTCCCTTTTTCATATCAAATAATTCTTATGTGTGTAACATGTCATTTAAACCCACCTATTTGGTAGTGCTAAAACATCAAACAATTTATAAAGTGATTCTTTGTTCTCATCGTAGGTTTCTTGCTCTTTGTCCTTGCAGAGCCTTCTCTGATAAATAAAAGTGATAGTGCTTTTATTTACTGCCTTAATTTCCTGCAGTAAACAAACACTGCATGTTCATTAATCATTCAGTGACAAAGGACACTGAGTATTGGAGCAAAACTTGTACATGTTTCTAAGCAACCACAATATTTTGCTTCATTTTTCTCTATCAGTTTCAATTGCAGAGCTTTGATCACATTATAGTCCCCCATTGCTTTCCAAAGGGAGTAATGAGAGAAAAAAGAAATCATCGTTATAACAAAATTTCAACCTGATAAAATTCTTAAGGTGAATTCAGTAATTCTGTTCCTGAAATGATGACCGTGAAGGTCGTAAGAAGTTACATCGACTTAGTTTAACCATCCACTCAATACACTGTGCTCTAAAATAGGAGAGGGATTTGAAGAACTGCAGATGTGTCTTATGAAAACATACATTCATGTTTTACATACATCCTGCTCCATA